ATTTAATATATTGGCACAAGCAGAAACATACTCCTAAAAGACAGTGTGGGAACTCTTCATTAGATAAAAACCATTATAGTTATCTTCATTTTCAGTTTATATTTTGAAGCTATTCTTAGCAGTCATTCTTCTTCCTAATACAAATAAGCTTCAGTTATATCATATATTAATTACATTAATATATATTTATATAATCTAATTCATGAATCATCAAATGGCATAGAGGTTGAGCTCTCTGGATCCCATATGGTCAACTGTGCAATTGAGTCCCAGACCCAGTGACTTGAAAAACATGCTGGGTATGTGTACATGCATATTCAAAATCCCAAGAGGAGAATGAAAGAGAAGGAATTGAAGTGTGGTCATTTCCTCTAGGAGGAGATTTCTCACTTTCCCTCTCATTCTGTCTCTCTCCAGTGAGGCACATGCCTTATAGCAAACAAACAAACAAACAAAATGGGCAATTTATGATAATTCATGCCACTGGGTCAAGGACTCAAACCGCAAGAGGCCATGTGGGAGTCCAGCACATAACCATTATGCCATCTAAATTTTAATTAATATGTTTTCTGTTAGGTTATATATGAGGTTTAAGCCAGTTTTTGTTTGTCTGGTTTTATATGAGGTTTAAGCCAGTTTTTGTTTGTCTGTTTTTTTGTTTTTTTGTTTTTCCTTTTTAAAGCAGAGAAATAGCCCAATGATTTAGGCAAAAGACTGGGATAGTTAGAAGCCTAAGAAGAAGTAAATTTTTCTACAGATTGTAGCTAAACTGAGGTATATTGGAGGAAGGAACAAATTGCATAAAGGCTATAGCTAAGAATATATTACATGAAACAAGCCTCTTGAAAACATTTGCTGTTTGTTCATTTCTTTTCTGTTTGGTACTGGAAAATAATTTGTCTTTTTTTTTCACTATAATTTTTTAACTCTATTTATTTACTTATTTTACAATTAAAGTATGAATTTATTTTGGTACAAAAACTTTGAAATTCATACATAGTTTTACCATTACACATATTTCCATGAGTTTTTTTTTCTGAAACTTTTTTTAATTAATTAATTTACATTCATTCCCTAAGCATTGTCACAGCATACAAAATATGATTAGTAACTGTGAAAAAAAAATTAAACTCTCTCTTTGTGGTATTTTACTTGTTCCAGATATTTTGAATTTTTGTATAAGAGAATTCATCACTCAATCTATTAATTTTTCAGGAGAGTAAATTATGAACCAGACTCTCAGAGTCTTCAGTATGAAGGCTCTCTTGGCTACTATAAACAAACTTTTTTTTTTTTAGAGATTTTCACTATAGGGCGCGTGCGCTCGCCAGACAGACAGAGAGAGACATTAGAGACAGAAAGCGAGAAATCACCCCCCAGGGGGGATGGTCACGCCGCAATCCCTTCTCCTCCATTCTCCTCTCGGGATCTTGGGCACGCACGCACACGCGCCCGGCGTGAGTTTTAAGCCACCGGGTCCAGGACGCGAACCGCGGTTGACTACGTGGGAGTCCAGCGACATAGCCATTACGCTAACTGCTGGTTCCCCTATAAACAAACTTTTTGAATACAATTATTTTTGTAGTTTGAAGATGAGTGATTAAAATATCAAAAAAAAAAGAATCAGAGAAATTAACCAATAAAATTAGTGAACAGTATGAATTTAAATCTACAATCTCAAAATGCAAATAATGTGGCATTTGTTTATTTTTATTAAATCAACTTCAATCTAATTTTTTACATTTTTTTTCTCATGTGAGAAAGAGAAAAAAAGACTCCCGAAAAAGGTCTTGTCACATCACAATCTTTCCTCTGTCTGCCAACCAGCCAGGATCAGGGTGCATCCACAGGCCTGCCTAGCATGTTCAGGTACACGCAGACATGTACTCTGGGCCTTCCCAGGTGGCTCTGGTATTCTGCAGCAGCATCCTTCCTACCACCAGCACCACTGCAGCTGGACCTTCAATCTCATTTTTAGTTTTCTCAATAATAAGAGTGTTAAAAATATAATATTACAAGTTTTGGGAACTTGTCTCCCCTCATTGTTATTTACCCCTCTCTCAAAAAAAAAAAAAAAATCCTGAATCTTTATTACAAAATATAAGAAAAACACCTTTAGGAATTAATAATCATTTCCATCCTTTCAAATTAATCACCAAGATACCAGTGAAACCATCCCCCCAGTTTTGGACATGCTACTATTTTTACGCCAGTCTTATGGCACAGACATCTAGCTGAAGGTTGGCAGAACCCGTATCAGATGTCTTACCTTCCCAGTCCTCTATCCTACCATCCCCTCCGAAATCTTACTGTATGCTCAAAGCTGCAAGTCTGATACTGGATATAGCTTTTACTTTTAGCTATTTAAGCTTTCTGCCATGTCAAAATTCTTGAGACAAGAAGTTATAGAGTCTATCGACCTAATGAGAATGCTTTCTTGGAATGCGGAGATGTTATCAGGAAATACAATGAGGAAAAAAAAAGTTTTTAATCATTTTTCTGACCGGTTGGAGTAGATCCATTTGTCCTATCCCTCCCATTAAGTACAGCTAAAGACCTTGGATATTATATGTTTAACAAATATAAGACTCTTAACGTCAGAGGGAAGAAAACAGACCAACTACAGATTCCATAACTCAAGAAATAACATAAGACAAGTTCATTGGAATTCCTTTTTGACTGTTGTATATACCCAGCTGAGTACTTAAGAAGTCTGAAACCCAGAAATCCCAATGGATAAAGAAAATAAAAGTCTCAAGAAGAGCCTGTTCTTTCTTGCCAAAGGACAAGGAAAGGTGCAGTTAATAAGGCAATAACTTTTTTTTTTACTATGATTCCCTTTTCTAGATTAACAACACAGGGAAAACAACAATCCTGACCTTTTCTACAATGACCAAGTGAGGAGCCTAGGCTGCCATCCCTACCTGGTACTAATGAGGCAAGCCTTCCCTCTCTTCCCCACCAGTATCCTCCTGTTGGAGGACACTAAATGAGACTTGTGGGCCCCACCAGGAAGGGATGAGGTGCCTCTGCCTCTCCCAATCAGGGTGATACCAGAGAAGGCTAAGTATGGAGCCTACGCCTACACAGCCATCCCGCATTAACGAGGTGGTCCCGTTCTCTCATTCTCCCCTCCTTTCTCATGGTGTCTGGGGACTCAGGACTTCCATGCCATCCTGCAGTAAGAGGGCATGCCTTCCTTTCCTGTGTTGTCAGTAGAGTATCAGTGTGGAGCTTTAGTCTCACCAGGTGGCTAAAAGCAACCTTTCATTTCCTCATGGCATAATCTCAGCAAAAGCAAAGAGAATTTGTTTGTTCATGTCTTCCTCATGCTAACCAGAGATCCCTCTCTATAGCAGTGTTGATAAGAATAAGTAGAGAGCATGTATTTTCACGCACCAACCAGTGAGAAACAAGTTATCTCTTTCCCCCCATTGGACCAGTGTCGAGATAGGCATGGCAAAATAAAAGGATTAAATAAGATCTAGAAACTCACAACATAAAATTCAAAATGTGAAGGTTACAATAAAAAAACTACAAATCCTACCAAGAACAAAGAAAGTCTCGAGAATACATAAAGAAAAACAATCAGTAGATGTCAATATGTAGATAACACTGATGTTAGAATTATCTGACAAAAGTTTTAAAGTAGTCATCATTAAAATGCTTCTGAATGAGGGACCAGCAGTTAGCATAATGGCTATGTCGCTGGACTCCCATGTAGTTGACCGCGGTTCGCGTCCCTGATCCAGAGGATTAAAACTCACGCCAGGCGCGTGTGCGTGCGTGCCCAAGATCCCGAGAGGAGAATGGAGGAGAAGGGATTGCCGCATGGCCATCCCCCCTGGGGGGTGATTTCTCGCTTTCTATCTCTCTGTCTGTCTCTGTCTGTCTGGCGAACACACGTGCCCTACAGCAAAAAAAAAAAAAAAAAAACAAAACCTCTCCAAAAAAAGAAAAGAAAAGTGCTTCTGAATGGCAAGTCACAAAAATGCTTAAAACAAATTAAGAGAAAAGAAAACAGAAAATCTTACTTAGTAAGGAGAAAGAAATTATAAAGAAAGTTCAAATAGAAACATTACTACTAAAAAGTATAATAACTCAAATTAACTCATTGGGTGGGCTCAATAACAGAATATATAACAAAGGAAAGAACCAGTAAATTTGAAAATAGAACAACAGAAATTACAAAATCTGAGCAAAACAGAGAAAATTAACTGAAAAAAATTAAAAGCTTCAAGACTCTTTAGAAAAATATCAAAATATCTAACATTTGTATTATTGGAATCCCAGGGGGAATAGAGAAAGAAGAAGAAGAGAAAACCCAATTATTGCACTGTAGGGCCAGCCCTCATGAATTTTCTATGTAGCTAGTCATATCATCCATGAACAATGATAGATTCCAATCCTTATACATTTTATAACTTTTGTCTTACATATTTCTAGCTCATTTGTTTTACTATACTACCTAACTCCACTACAGTGCTAAATAGAAATAAGAAGAACCGACCTCATTCCCAATCTTGGGGAAGAGCTTTTAATATGTCATAATTATATAGATATTTGTTGTAGAGGATTATTGTTTGGTTTTGGGTTTTTCAGATATTCCTTATTAGATTAAGAAAATATTTGTTTTTAGGGTTTTTTCCCCTTTTTTTACTATCAATGGATATTCATCATTTACTTAATAAATCTGACAACCTTCTATTTTACTAGACTTTTTACTCTGACTTAAATCTTAACCACGTTCAGGTTTATTGTTGAATGTTTCTAATATACCAGACCATCTACTGAGCACTGGAAATACAAATATAAACTGTAATAGAATGAGTTTAAATAAGTGTTTTTGAAGCAAAACTAAAAAAAATGACTCACTGTAAACAGGACAAATGTTAATAAAAAACTATATTTTACTCAAATTTAATATCGGTTATAATTTTAGAATAGCTTTAATGTAAACAAATTGGAATAATTCAATGTAAATTATTTTTCTCTTTCAGATTTGGAATGAAGGTTTAGCGAAGATGGCTAAAGCATGGGCAAACGAATGTAAATTCCAACATAACAGTTGTTTAAAAAAACCATATAAATGCTATTCAGGTTTTGAATATGTTGGAGAAAATATCTGGTTAGGTGGATTAAGGATATTTACACCAAATGCTGCCATTACTGCTTGGTATAATGAAACCAAATTTTACGATTTTAATACTCTATCATGTTCCAAAGTTTGTGGTCACTATACACAGGTAAATATTTGACATTTTATTGATTTCTAATTTGTGTAATTGTAAGACAATTACTTAGTATGTTTTTTTATTCGTGTTTCTCATGAGTGTCTGGAAAACTCACTTTCTTTTTTTGGAGAGGTTTTTGTTATACGGCGCATGTGCTCGCCAGAAAGACAGAGAGAGACAGACAGACAGACAGAAGGTGAGAAATCACCCCCCCCAGGGGGGATGACCACGCCACAATCCCTTCTCCTCCATTCTCCTCTCAGGACCTTGGGCACGCACGCACATGCACCTGGCGTGAGTTTAAGCCACCAGGTCCGGGACTGGAACCGCAGTCGACTACGTGGGAGTCCAGCAACATAGTCATTGTGCCAACTGCAGGTCCCAGTATTTACCCTTATGTTCATCTGGAAAATTAAAAATAAAATTTTATTCTATTATCTTCAAAAAGCACTAATAATATTCACCACCTCGTTATCTCTCTCCCATGGTTACCTTTCCATAGGCATCTTCTTCCTTTTGACTAATTTTACTATTCTTTGCAACTAGATGAAAAATATTCATCATCATTATGGCAGGCATTTTATTCAATCAACTCAACATTTTTTAATCTATACCTGTTTCTTGTGACCTAACAAATGTAATATGGTTAGATCACAAAATTTAAAATGTTATCTTAAGTAATGTAGAATTCTTCTGAGTAAAATAAATAAAAATGAATAAGAGTTCTAACTCATAATCTGATTTTAATATTGTTTGTATTTTGTGCCCATGGAGAAAATTAAAATATATTTTATAAATTATCTAGAAAAAATTATGATTATATATATACTATATTCTCTTTTTGATTTCTGAGAATTAATATGGAAAAATTAGATAGCTTTCATAAAAGCAACCTTAATCAAAGTATCTTTTTAAGCTAAATATTGGAAATTATGAAAAATAGACAATATTTATATACATTCTTGTCTTGTGGTATTATATCTGTTGCTATATGCAGTGTTTGCATAAAATTATTTTGCATATTTTGTTTTAAAATTCTTTTTCTTATAGGTAGTTTGGGCTGATTCATATCAAGTTGGCTGTGCGCTTTCTATGTGCTCTAACCTTGGGGGACCTTCAACTGCAATATTTGTATGCAACTATGGACCTGCGTAAGTTAAAATATTTTAAATTGAAATAGATGTTAATAATTATTTCTTAAAAGGGAATCTTATAAAAGGGACAAATATATTTATGTTAGCAAAGTACCCTCTGCAATGCTAAAAAAATAAGGTAGGTAAAAATAGAAAGTGGTGATAGAATATTGCCTCATGTAAAGAAGAACTATACCTGTCATGAAATATTTAAACTTGAAAATGAAAATATGGTTTGTAAATTAAGAAAAATAATATAAAATGCATTGCCACAGTGATGGCTAAGTACTGAAGCACAACAAGGTTTGTAGATGTTTCTCTAAGATGATATGGCATAAGTAGAATGAGAAAAAGTCTGCCTAGTATGGTAAAAGCACAGTCTTGTAAGACAAGAACAACATAAATTTTAATTACCTTTTTCTAATTACATATCTAAATAAAAATAATGCACAAGCCTAGTGGGAAGCTCTAAAAATAAAATTTTAGAACTCCAACCCCAATGGATCTATACAATGAAAATATAAAAACAGTTAATGGGGCCAACAGGTGACATAATGGCTGGGGTGCTGGACTCCTACATGGCCAACCTTGGTTTGAAACCTGGATCTGGCAACTTGGAAATATGCAGCTGTGTGTGTGTGTGTGTGCCTGAAACTCATAAAGGAGAATGAAGGAGAAGGGACTGGGGCATGACCTATGGGAGTTATTTCTCACTTTCCCTCTCTCTGTCTCTCTGGCAAGTACACATGTCCTATGGCAAAACAAAACAAACAAACAAACAAAAAAACAAAATAGTTAATAACCCAACTCTTTAACAAACAAAAATTTTAAAATAAAATTGTACAAAAAATGAAAACATAAAGAATAAATATTTAAGATTGGCAAACAAGAGAAGATATATGTAAAAATTACTATGGATAAGTATAAACGTGCATATCTCTCTCTGCATTTTCTTCTCTCACTTAGAAGCAAAAACAAGAATTGCCAAATTAAAGCTTGGAGTAGCATATAATTATTTTTAGACTAATAAAAACAAGTTTTATAAATTTTCAAAGCATAAAATTTAGAAAAATACACATTTTATCAAGAGGCTTAAATTCACAAGGAACAACAGTATAAATAGCAAATATAGGTCAGAAGGCAACAGCAATCAAATAGGGTCAAGCAGGGAAAGTCAATGAACGCAAGATGCAATTCACTGAGATATACCACATTAGGATGCTGCATGATTGGGGCAAGTCAGTGGCATGGTGGTTAAAGTGACTGGATCCCACACGTCTGACTGCACTGTTTGAGACCCAGACCCAGTGACTTGAAAAACACACTAGGCATGAGTGCATACATGCCCAAAATCTTGAGAGGAGAAGGGATTGCAGCATGGTGATTCTCTCCCCTGGGGACAGGGGAAGGGGGATTTCTCTTTTTTGCTTTTTCCTCCTCTCTCTCTTTCTGTTTCTTTCTCTCTCCAGTAAGTTCATGCACCCAATGGCAAATCTTAAAAGAAAAATTCTAATTGAACAAAATTTCTGATTGATCTCATACAAAAGTCCTTGGTTTCAACCTTATTGTTGAAAATCTACCTAAAGGGACCAGCAGTTAGCGTAATGGCTATGTCGCTGGACTCCCACGTAGTCGACCATGGTTCGTGTCCCGGACCCGGTGGCTTAAAAACTCACGCCGGGCACGTGTGTATGCATGCCCAAGATGCCAAGAGGAGAAAGGAGGAGAAGGGATTGCAGCGTGGCCATCCCCCCTGGGGGGTGATTTCTCACTTTCTGTCTCTCTGTCTCTCTCTGTCTGTCTGGCGAGCGTGCGTGCCCTATAGCAAAAAACTCTAAAAAAAAAGAAAATCTACCTAAAACTCAAATACGACTTCCACCCTTTGGAGGTAAATAAAAATTGTTACAGGAATATGTGGAATTGTTTTACCTCACATTATTTTATATTTTCTTATCTATATTTGATTGTCTTGGATCTTTATGGCATAAAATACAGTTTTTCAAAGCATGCATGCAGTGTGTGATAATCAAATTAGTAGAGGGATATACTGTATACTATAATTTTCATAGATACTAGACAAAGTACAGAACTGATGACATTTCTTTACTGTAATCTTTCATGTTAAGAAGTTTAATAAATTAATTTGAAAAGGAAAGAGAAAAATAACTAATAGGGGACTAAGGCTAAACATATGATGAAAAAAGCAGTAGGGCACAATGTTACTTTGAATAAGCCAGGTTTGGGGGTTCACACAAATTATGTACATGACAGACTTCTTACATGTATTGTCAAAACATAAGAGGATATTGTTACATCACTCCTGGCCAAGTGGTAGAGACCAATATACACCACCACCAACATAACAACCAAAACGAAAAGAGAAAGTACATGATCAACAGTTTTTGAAAACACTGGCTACCATACATTGAAGGGAAATGACCTCTGAAAAGCAGAATCAAAGATGGTCTTTCAGTTGTCTAAATTAGTGCCTCAGGAACCAAGGCACAGGTTGGACTCCTTGAGACTCCTTGAGTTTAAAAAACAGAACTGAGGGTACAGAAAGACCAATACAGCTAGAGTCCATGAAAGAGTGCCAGAGAAGAGAGCACTATACACAGAACTCTGAAGATCTGCAAGAAAATTCTTCGACTATTTGGCATAGTACATATTAGCTAACATGTACTAACATGCATGTAAGAAAGCTATTCAAGACTGTAGTGAAAAACACATGAAAGATTAGAGGAAACAGTTCCTGAAACTGATGCAGGAAGCAGATAGCCACAAAGTAAGCAGATACCATAAAGTAGAGCCTGAAAGAGTCAAAATGTTCTCATGTAGCTTAACTGAATCCTAGAAAACAAGATTTATAAAAATGCATAACATCAGGGCCGGCAGGCAGCGTGATGGTTAAGGGCAATGGACTCCCACATGGGTGACCATGATTTGAGTCCCAGACCTGGCAGCTTGCTTTCTCACTTTCTCTCTTTCTCTCTCTTACTCTGTCCATCTCTGGTCAAATTATATTATATATATGTTTATATATTAGTTAAATAAAATAATTCTTTAAAAAAAAACATAACATGAAACATCTAACACTGACAATGTGTGCATCTAAACAAATATTACCTGGCTTACAATTGAGCAGAAAAATAAGACATGTAATGGGTAATCAGTTGAAACTGATACAGGAATGATGCATATGTTTAATTAACCAAGAAAGACATTAAAATAGTTATAATTGTATTCTACATTTTTGCAAGTTAAGCAGATATGGAAGAGATTAAGAAAAAAATTATACCAAGATGAGAAAAGTCAAGGTGGATGGCAGAGTAGACATTCCAGAAGAGATTAGTGAATTAAAAAGTGTAACAATAGAAATTACCTAAATCGGTGTCCACAGAGAAAAACAAATCCAAAATATGATAAAAACAGGATCAGTAGTGGAAACTGATTTCCTGATAGAGAGGGAACAAAAACCTTTTTGAAGAAATATGTCCTTTTGGAGCCAACAGATGGCATAGTGGTTAAGGCACTGGATTCCTACATGGCTGACCACAGTTCAAGTATCAAACTTGATGACTTGAAATCATGTCAGGCATATGTACATGCATGACCAAAATCCAAAGAAGAGAATGAAAAAGAAGGGATTACAATATGGCCATCCCACCAGGAGGTGATTTCTGATTTTCCCTCTCACTACCTCTCTGGCTAGCATATGCATCCTTTGGCAAAGAACTCAAAAGTCCAGAGAGAAGGCTGGAGGCGAAAGGACTGCTGCATGGCCAACCCCCCTGGGCAGTGATTTCTCACTTTCTCTCTCATTTTCTTTCTCTTTGAGTGCATACACCCTAAAGCAAAAAAGAAAAAAATGTATTGGCTGATGGGCTAGCATGTGGTGTAACAGTTAAGGCACTGGATCCTACATGACCAACTCCCACGGTTTGAGTCCTGGACCCTGTGGCTTGAAAACCACTAGGCACATGTGTATTTGCCCAAAATCCTGAGAGGAAAATGAAGGTGAAGGAACTTCTAAATGGCCATCCTCCCTGACAGGTGATTTCTCACTTTCCCTCTCTCTCCATCTCTGTCTCTCTCCAGTGAGTGCACACACCCTATAACCAAAATATTTTTAAAATAAAATGCATTGACTTAATTTTGCTGAAATGTAAGCATAATAATTGTCACACCTTCTGGGTACATTATCAAATAGAACTTGATAAGGACTATGACAATGCACTTGTAAATCAAACCTTAAAACATGTTTTCATTTGCAATTTAATTATTAATCATTCCATTTACAAAATAAAGAAATAATCATATGTCCATGGCAAAAACTTTGTGGATATCACATACATAATTTTGTTGGATTCATATCTAATTTGCGTTCAATAGAATATTCCAGAATAAAACTGCCATGTGGTTTAGAGACATCTGTAAATAACAGTTTTAATAGTTTCTTTTTACGAAAGAAATAAACAAAATTGTGATGAAAGTTGAGCTGAGTAAAAGGTAGCTACTTGGCTAATCAATGTTCTTTTATTTTGCAGAGGAAATTATGCAAATATGCCCCCTTACACGAAAGGAACACCCTGCTCTCTGTGTGCAAAAGAAGAGAAATGCACTAAAAAGCTCTGCCGTAAGCAAAAAGAAAAAATATAATCATAACATTCTATTTGGAGAGTAAAGTTTCCACAAATGCATTACATTTTAAAATTTGGTACTTCATGTTTACAATTTATGAACAAGTTTTAATGGCTTCTATCCAACGCTATAATTTGCCATAATTTATTATATTTAAACTCAGATTATCCTTCCTTACTTCACTGATTATTTTCCCTCTCCAACTATAGGACAAAAGAGAATGGGGTACAAATATGATCCAGTTTGCCCTGCACGCACAGTGACTTGGTTGAAATCTTTCTTATTTGTATTTGTTGCCATTCAGCCATTTTATTAGTTATTATTAGAACAGCATCTCTTTTTAAATTAATACATTAATCAATACCCAAATTAATTATGACTTAAAACTAACATGTTTCTCTTCCATCATCAGCCTTCCGGTTCTCAAAATGAAGGTTCTTTCTAAGGGAAAATACTCTTGATGGAGGAAGAGTGAAAGGGTGAAGGAAGATGATGATATGAAAACTAAAAAAAAAAAAAAAAAAAAAAAGTAAAATCATTTTCTCTTCTGCATCTCAGTTTACTATAAAATAAAAAAAAAAAAAAAAAAAAAAAAAAAAAAGTTAGCGTGAAAGAAACAGACACAAAAAGTGTGTATGTTATTTGTGTATTTTACATAAATTTCAAAACCATACAAAATTAATCTGTGTTTGGAGTCAGGATAGCCAATATCTTTGGAAAAAAAAAGAGGAGTTAGTGATTGGAAGAGGATATTAAAAAGACTTTTTAAATCTATGCTGTATTTACATGTATGCTCTCTTGGTAGTAATTCATAAAACTCTCTAGTCATGAGATAGGAATTTTTCTTTTTTTTAAGAATTATTTATTTTATTTTATTATTGTTGTAGTTACTATTTTTAATTTGACCAGAGAGAGAAAGAGAAAAGGAAAGTGAGAATGCAAGCCGCCAGGCCTGGGACTCAAACCAAGTAGACCATGTAGGAGTCTAGTACCTTAATCACCACACCACCTATTGGCCCCAAGTTATAAATTTTTCTATATCTGAATTGTATTTTCATTAAAACAATTAAAAATATGGTCCTTCTAATTTCAGATTTAAGTCCAAGTATTTTAAAAATAAATTCATTGTTTACCTCCTATTTGTTTTGTTTTCTCCTGGTTTAGCTAATACACTTAGTTTCTCAGTGTGATGAATTGTTTTTTAAGTTGCCCACCAACAATTCCTTCTGCCTCAATATGCATGCCACTTCTCCCATCCAGAAATGGAGGCTATTTCCCTTCCCTTTGAATAAAGATTTGATAGTGTGTCAGTACTGGACCTAGCCTTTAAGAGACCTCATTGCTTTGGCTTTTGCTCTGCTGGAAACCACCCAGAATGTAAAGAAATCCATGCTCTCCTGCTGGAAAGATGACTTTGAAAAGAGCCCATAGAAAGAGAGGCCATCTCCCAGTACACACGCCCTATAGCAAAAATCTCTCAAAAAAAAAAAAGAAAGAAAGAAAGAAAGAGAGGCCATCTCGCTGTTTGAACCCCAAATGAGCTCTAGATAAATGCAATGCAGTCAATGCTGAACTCTGATGATGCTACCTATAGCAGAGAAATTAACTAGGAGAGCAATCAACCAATTTTGAGAAATAATAATAAACTGTTTTGGTTGTAAACTATTAACTTTTGGGAAAGTTGTTTTATAACAGTAGATCACAGAAATACTTGGCATGCCTAATAAATTTTTATTTAACACAAGGTTAAATAAAAATGAGACATTTCTTTTCTTTTTCTTTTCTTTTTTTTTTTTGAGAGGTTTTTGCTATAGGGTGTGTGCGTTCTCCAGAATGACACAGAGAGAGACAGGAAGCAAGAAATCACTCCCCAGAGGGGATGGCCACACCACTATCCCTTCTCCTCCATTCTTATCTCGAGATCTTGGGCACACATGCACACACGCCTGGCATGAATTTAAGTCATCGGGTCCAGGACTCGAACTGCGACCTATTACATGTGAGTCCAGTGATGTAGCCATTACACCATCTGCTGGTCCCCAAAACGTAGACATTTCTACCTTTTCCTTTGCTCAACAGATAAGTCAGGGTTATTCACCTTAATCCAAATACCATAGTTAAGGCTGGGTTAGAATGTATATAAGACTTAGTTCACCTCCACTGCCCTTGCTCCAAAGGTGTAGACTTACACAGGTTTCCATTGAAAGCCAGGTGTGTTCACTGGTGTCCCTTCCTTGATGGCTTCTGAACACCAATCCTTACTGCTTTGGCACTTTGAAACTGCTGAAAAATGCTTTCCAAGGCTTTTCACCGTGTTTTTAGTCTTCTGTCCCTCAGAGCTTTAAAATTTGTTGTACACTGTAAAGAGGTACAGAGATTAAATGTACATTTAAAAAATAAATGAGTAAAAATTATTTCTAAAAAATTAACAGCTTGAGGACAAAATGGGAAACTCTTTGGTTCATTCCTCATTCCTCTTCTTCTCACCTTAACCTTGACTCCTTGATTCTCCAGCTATGTCCCTCTAGCCTTGCCAAACACTCTGCTGTTTTCAAAAAAAAAAAAAAACCAGCCTCTGCCTGGGTAAAGGCCAAACTTCGAGCCTTAGACCTGGACCCCGAATCACCGGATAGGCCCCGACAAAGGCAGCTTTTATAATATCAGCTCACCTCTATGGTTCTCCTGACCTGAAATCTTAACCCCTCCAGCTTTGTTGCTTTAGCACATAGCTGATGTTCTTAAGCAGTGTTTTGTGGTATTTTCTTTCATTTTTCTAGTTGTGCTTAATGAGCTACTCCATTCTGGACACTTAAGCAGGCATTGACAATGGGCTCCAAAACAGTATCATACCAACTGCAAAGGCTACAATAAATTCTACTGTCTTATTGCAGGTGCTTTCCCAACTTAGTAGTTTTCTAAATTATACACAAATTATTTAGCCATTCTTGATCTCTGTGTTGGCAAGTTAATTTTAGGATGAGTTTATCAATTTCACAGAAGACCATATTGGAATTCTGGTAGTAATTACATTAAATTTATAGATATATTGGGGGGAAATTATTATCTTTACAACATTAACTATTACTATTAGTGAAAATTATTTATTAAGGTCTTTTTATTTTTTTCTACATAGAATTTAAAGTTTATTTCTTTATCTATTCCATGAGGGAGTCTCAGTTGGCCTCAATCACAGATAAGGGCTCTTGGTGTTCTCAGGGAAGTCCTCTATGGGATCCAGAACCTTCCTTATGCGGGTCTCACTGCACCACTGCTGCACCACCACCTGGCCCTTATTTATTTCTTCTTAAATGTCTTTCAGTTAAGTTTTGGCCTTTTTTTCAATAAAGGTCTTACACATCAAATTAGATTCCTTAGTGGCATGGACTTGTTGCTATCATAAGTACTTTAAAATTATATTTCTTAGTTCATTTTCCTAATTTATAGAAATATAGATGCTAAGGTACATTAGTCTGCTATCTAAAAATCTTACCAAAATCTCTCATTTTTAATGGTGTATTGATTTTCTTGGATTTTCTGTAATGATAATCACCTATAAAACCAAAATACGAGTTTGTTCTTTCTTCTAACCTTTAAATTAATTATTTATTGTACTAATATTAATAGTTTATTCTTCAATGCAATGTTGCACAGAAGCCTCGATAGTGGATGTCTGCCTCTTACTCCTCACTTTAAAGAGCAAGTCTCACCATTATATTTGTTTTGGATACTTTTAGTTGATCCTCATTGCCAGGTTATGGAGGTGTCTTCTTTTCCTTATTTTGCTAAGAGTTTTTAACATGAATGAATGTTTATTTTGAATTGTTTTTTCCTATACCTTTTGCAATGATCCTAATTTTTTTTTCTATCATGTCTTTCTCTTGTAAACTATGTGAAAAGGTTTTTGAACCAATGCAGCCACACAAACTGTCAAGTGTACTATAAAAGTTAAGTGATGGCTCATGGTTTCATTCCTGTGATAAATCTGATTTGGTCATAGGGGTTCCTAGATGACTAGATTCTTGTCAACATTTTGTTTACAGTTTTTACTTTTAATTTTAAAATTATAATCAGTCTATAATTTTCTTTCTTCATTTCTCCGTACATGATGTTGACTTAGGTAATAGTAGCTTCATGAAAAAAGTTGAAAGTTGGATATATTACTTCCTTTAATATTTTGGTGACAGGGCCACCCAATGGCCCACTGGTTAAGGGAGCCAGATCCTCCATGAGTCATAACACTGTTAGAATCCTGGACCTGACAGCTTGAGAAACATACTCAGTGCATGGGCACTGTGCTCAAAATCCCAACAGAATAAAGAAGTGAAGAAGTGATTGTGGCATGATCATGTTCTATTGGGGGTGCTTTCTCACTTTCCCTCTCTGTCGCTCGCTCTCTGACAAGTACACACACCTGGCAAATTTGAAAAGTATATATTTTAGTGACAGATTATGTAAAATTCTGAGTACTTAATTTTTGAATGTCTGAGAGATATTTTGTCATTCTCTATGAAAGTATTATAGTTTGTTCTAGTGTGAGTTATGTGTTTGTAAATTTTAACTATTGATTTAATTTCCTCAAGGTTTATGTAATTTGGGGTTTGAGGCAAATATCAGAAAATTTTCTATTTTATCCAAGTTTTAATGAAAAGTCTCATATTTTTACCTCTGCTTTATCTGTAGCTCGACTCCATTTAAGTCTTATGATTTTTTATTTATACTTTTCCTTTTTTTTCTTTCTGTTGATAAGTTTTTATTTAAAAAAAGAAATCTAGCTAGGATGATTTCATTACTTAAAAACAGGGGATATAGCATAGTGGATAAATATATTGGCTTTGGAATTAGAAGGCTTAATTCAGGAACTGATTAAGAAGATTAAATATGTTAAGTCATACAAAGTTATTTGATCATAAAGTAAGCTCTCAATAAATTTTGGCTATTTTATAATTAAGTTCCTAATTCTTTTCTGTTATTCACTCCAGTTTTTAATAGTACTTATTACCCTCTAAAATTATCAAATTTATCCATTTTATTTATTCAATTTTTTTGAGAGGTTTTTGCTACAGGGCACGTGTGCTTGCCAAAGAAACAGAGAGAGAAAGAGAGACAGAAAGTGAGAAATTACCCCCCAGGGGGGATGACCATGCCACAATCCCTTCTCTTCCATTCTTCTCTCAGGATCTTGGACACTCACACACACACACCTGGAGTAAGTATGAGCCACCAGGTCTGAGACTCGAACCATGGTCGACTACATGGGAGTTCAGCGACATAGCCATTATGCTAACTGCTAGTCCCTATATATTCAATTTTAAAATCAAAGATAGAATTTTTTTCCCATCATGTTTCTACAATGAAAGGAATTTGATGTCAAGACCTGGAGCAAAATTTAGAAGAAGGGCTGTGTGCAGAGCATCGTGGTGCTTGCCTATAATCCCAGCTATTTGGGAGGCCAAAGCAGAAGGATTAAGAGTTCATGAACAGCTTGGGAACCTATTAAGACCCTGTCTTTAAAGAAAAAAACAAAGATGGAGTAAGGACCATTACAGAAATAACTGACCTATTTTATGGAGGCATCTAGGTATCCAAAACTCAACATGAAGGAATTGTTTTTTCAGGGACTTGATTTGGGCATGAAGGAATGCTAAAAATAAGTTTACTTTATAGTTTTGTCTATTTTGGACTTCTGTGCCTTCACTACAAGAGGCAGTCTAGAAATATTTATTGACATGACACTGTTGATAGAGAGCATTATAAAGATTTTTAAGTACTGTGGTATTTTGGTAGGAAGCTTTCCTTTTCTTAAATTAAAAAGTCAAATTAATTTTATTAAGTTATCCTAAAAGCCAGAAAAACAAGCAAATGCTTTTAACTTTATAATTTCTTTTTCTATTTCAGGAGCTCCACAAATTGTATCTAACAGTACGTATCACAATATTTCAACATTGTTTCAAGTATTTTTTTTTTCTTGAAACTAAATTGAATTTTCATCTGTTTTGTTTTATTGACAGCAAATACCTTAAACATACCATTGGGAAAAGCACCTCTGGAGAGAGCAGTATGTAATCCGTTCAGTCTAGGTTTTGTTCTTCTGAGACTATTTTAATTGTCATTTCTATAGGGAAGAAATTTTCAAATACGACAATAAAGGAGCAATTTATGGCCAAATGTAACTCATCAAAAGTTCAATTCGCTATTAAATATTTTACATCTAAACTTAATGTTGTTTTTTTTTTTCATTTTAACATTGTGTTATAGTATTGAAAATAGGTAAGCAGTAGCATAAATTCATAAGGTTATCTTTAAAACTTAAGATGTTTATATGTGCTCTGTATAAATAACAGGATGCAAGTAGCATACCTTTTAAAAGTCATAAAAGATTATCTACAGCATAGAAAACAACATCTGTACAAATCAAAGAAACACTGATTTCTGGCAAATATTTCTCTTGGATGAAGGCAAAACTATATATACTATTATTCAATGAATAAGTTTTGAAATACTTAATACTAAATGATTACTTTGAACTAAATTATCTGGATTTGTTCTTTTCAACTAAGGCAACCACCAAGTTCCCTCACCTATAGATTTAAAATCATTTTAAAATGTGTCTTTAAAAGGACTGAGAATTGTTTTACATGTATATGTGAATATCTAGGAATTTCCACAGCTGAGTGATGGATTTAAAAAGAAAAAAAAAAGAAGCTAAGTGGTTTTATATGTCAAATCTGCCTACATTATTCAAGGTTCTCCACATAAACATAGACAAAATTAGAAAGGGAGAGGATGACTTTAATTAATTGGTTCACACCATTGTGTGGAATGATAGTCAAAATTTGTAGGGCAATCTGACACAATAAAGATTCAAGTAAGAGTTCATGCTGCCATCTTGAATGTAAATGATAAAAACTCAGGTAGGATTTCTATATTGTAGTCTATGGCGGAATTCCTTCTTATTCAGAAAAACTGAGTCTTTGCTCAGAAGGCCTTCACTAATTGAATGAGGCCAACCCACATTAACAAGGTAATATACTTTACTTAAAGATATCTAATCATACATTTAATCACATCTACAAAAAAATCTTTACAGCAATATTAGTGTGTGAGCAAGCTACTAATCATTATAATCTAACCACACTGACATCTAAAATTAATCTGACATTGTTTTTTGGCATCAAGTATTACATTTTAGTAATGTACACTTTTGCTATTTGTTTAACTATTGCATCGTTAAAATTAAAATTCAAAATTAATTGCTCATTAACTTGTGGTTTTAAACAGGCTAAAGGTAAACTGACATCTATATAGTGTACAATTTCTACTTGTATTGTTTATCGAATGGTCTTTATGAAATTTTGATTAAACTTTTTCATTAATAATTAAAATATTTTCTAATTTTAATTGAACACTCCTTTACTTCTTCAGACAATATACTCAAAAGGATAGTGATTTCCTTTAGTCCAATAAAGTGAAAATCTACAGACCATATTTTTTAAAAAAGAACTTTCACAAAATTATATTCACTGAATTTGAAGAGTACTTGTCAAACAGCACTCCTATGGGAACTTTCAAGTAGTGGCAGTTTCCAGAATATTCTATCTCAACTTACTGGACCTTCTCTCCATGTGATGCTGTAAGCCCAAGCTGGATAGTCAGTGTCTGTGCCTTGCTAGTGGGGTTTCCCCTCAGTGGCAAGAAGAGAAAATTCTGGGCCGAGATGTCTTTTTTATTCCCTGACATCTTAACCACAGCCCCTTGACAGGACAACTTGGGAAGACTGCCAGCAGTTAGGATATTTTAATCTACAAAAATCATATTTGTAATTGTGGCTTCAAGGAATCTCCTTATTTCACGGCTTGGAATCTTTAGACGAACTGCTCTGAGCTTGACTTTTTCGAAGAGTTGAGGGCAATTAACTCAGAATGTGAGCCGTTGGTTTTTCTGGGCATCCTCTTGCCGTACAAGGCTATGTCTGAGGCACACAGAAATTACCTAAGCACTTCAAGGTAAAGTGATCAGACATGAAGGTGTTAGCCAGATTTATAATCTCTCTTACTTCTAGGGACTAATGGTGACTAAATGCTTTAAAGAGTAATCTCTGATTGTTATTATTATTACTATACACCCCCTATCAGTAGGAAATATTTAGTGATCATCAACCCTTGATTTCCTGGGATTGATGAGTTTCCTAGGACATAAGGAAATATCATAAAAGTAGGATGTTCTCTAATAAGCCATGAAGTTGATGACCCTAAGCTTGAAGCAAAAGTCATAGTTATGTACTTTTAATTACATGCATTAGGCATATTTTTTATAATAGAGCATGAAAACTGACCTAAAAAAAGATCAAATAAAACTTTTTTTTTTTTTTTGGAGAGATTTTCACTATAGGGCACATGCGCTTGCCAGACAGAAAGAAAGAGACAGAGAGACAGAAAGCGAGAAATCACCTCCCAGGGGGGATGGTCATGCCACAATCCCTTCTCCTCCATTCTCCTCTTGGGATCTTGGGCACGCACGCACACACGCCCGGTGTGAGTTTTAAGTCACTAGGTCCAGGACGCGAACCGTGGTCGACTACGTGGGAGTCCAGCGACATAGCCATTACGCTAACTGCTGGTTCCCAAACTATTTTTAAAAATACTAAAGAAGTTTTTATGTCAGTAAAAGGATAACAAACACTTTTGACACTTCTATATTGTTGGCTTACACTCATAACTTTGTTAAGTGTAATAATCTGCAAGTTCTTTTGAGATCTTTTCATAATATGTGATCTTTTTTTGAACTAAAAAAATTTACATTATAGCACATCTTAACAGCATACAATATAGTTTTTCCAAAGCACACATGTCCTGCATATAGATCAAGTCAAAGATATTACCATATAAATCATCCTCATTCGATAACTTTCCATCGTTGCATCTATTGTGTTCTTTTTTTTTTTTTTTTCCTGAGCCCTCCTACCTCCCACTATCTACCTCCTCCTATAGATGATCATTTTGAGATGGCTGATTTAGGTACAACTAAGTAAAATAATTTGTATATGATTTACCCAGGTTCACAAACTGCAGCAGGGGAAACAATAAGTCCTGTTAACATCATTCCTAGTGAAACTCATTTTCCCTCAGGAAAAGCCATACACCACTTGCCAATGATGTTCAGTCAAAATTACCAACAACTCACCTGTAGCTGTAACACACTGAGTTTGCTCTTTGCAACTAGAGATACCACACTATCATAATAAAAATTCAATAAATACTTATTAAGCATACATAATGTGTTGGCTTCAAGCTAAGTCTTAAAAATGATTTTTAGCCCTTGTCAACATAATAAGTAAAAACAAGATACATTTTAATTTAATAATAGTAATACCTAAAACTAAGTAATGTTTACAGTATCCCAAGCACTAAGTGTTTTACATTTAAAAACTTACAGAAGTGTCTGAATAATTCTGGAGGTAGATGCTATTAATTTTCATTCTTTGAACTACTAGTAGATTTAAACATGTTTTCATAAAGTGTATTCAGATTTATAAACACATTACTATTAAAATAGGTTGAAGAAAGCTGTTCTTCACTGAGAAGATGTATTTCATACAGACAACCATACCAAATATTGACCTCAAGAATACAGGAGTAATGTTTATTCAGGTGTAAAAATTTCATATAAAGTTTCTCAAATTTATAATCAATTTAATGCTTTTGTCTTGTGGATAAAGAAAAACTATATTTTGGTCCCTGAGGCCCAAATTTATCCTGGAATCTGGTTATACACACTCATCATACTTATATGTGAAAAGAAGAGAGGCAGCATGAGGATTACCACCACTGTGATGTTTTGGGTTTTTTTGTTTTGTTTTGTTTTGTCTTGTTTTGGGGGGAGGTTGTTTTCTTTTTGGTTTGTTTTGTTTTGTTTTGTTTTTTTGGGGTGTTTTTTGCAAATTACATAATTTCCTTCATCCATTTTTCTAGTGGTGCTGGAACTATTCACGTTTTAAGAAACTTTCAGTGGCTCCCAACACATCAGGAAGTTGAATCCTTTGATATTTGCGTAGCACTATCTTCTTCATTTGTCCCTTCTTTATATTTTAATTAAGTAAAGCACATCTCTCTGCTTCCCAATGTTGACTTTTATATGTAGCATCAGGCTGGTTTTCTCTGTTTGTGCTACTCACGCACAAAAGTATCAAAATTTGAATATTTGTGTTGTAGAAAAGATCAATTAAGTGAGGACATGGAAAAGGTGAAAGATCATAAGGCCCAAATATAGTGGTTCACAGAAAGTACCACCACTTGGGAGGCTGGAAATTGAATAGTAGGACAAGATTTGCTTCCTGGACCAGGAAGAGTTGTGTGCTCCTATAATCTTGGCTAACTAGGAGCATGGAGCAGAAGAATCACCACACAGCAAAATCATGTCAAAAATAACCATCTCTGTTTCGCTCTCTTTCCTTCCCTGTATCTTTCTCATTGGAAAAAATAATAATAATAAAGTAAAAGGCTATATCTTCTCAATAAAATCTATGCATAGAACAAGATAATATATTTACAAATATCTATACTCAAGTTTCATGATTATTCTTTTTATTTTATTTTGGAGAGGTTCTTGCTATAAGGGGCAGGCGCTCGCTGGAAAGTCAGAGACACAGAGAGACAGAGAGAAATCACGCCCCAGGGGGGATGGCCACGCTGCAATCCCTTCCCCTCCATTCTCTCCTCAGGATCTTGGGCAAGCACACACACCAGCCCGGTGTGAATTTATGCCACAAGGTCCAGGACCTGAAGACTACATGGGAGTCCAGTGACAGTCATTATGCCCACTGCTGGTTCCATTGTTCTTACTAAATATATATAAAAATACGTATTTTCAAGCTCCCCAGCTTTTACAAAACAGGATGGGAATCCCCTAAAACACCTACAGGTTATACTTACAACCAGAAAGAGGAAGTGACTTACCAACCCAAGGTACTCACAGGTAGAACCACCCTAATTGGCTAACCTTGGCATTTGTTTTAAGTGGAGGGTCTGACCACCTGTGATTGGTCAAACTCATTGCTCTAATTGGCTGAAGCTCAGTTGCTAGGTTACTAGAATAATGTTCGGTTACAACTTGCCTGAATTTCAAGTGAGGTTGCAATTCAGTCTATACAGAGACTGCATTGGGTCAAACTTAAAGCTCAGCTTAGCAAAAAGAGACATATATTTTAATGTTATGAGATTTGATGATTCCTACTCTCCTCCCAGGTGCTTAAGCTTTCCACTCTTCCCTTTATTTTGTGATTTTCCAAACAGGTGTTATTTTGTGGTTCCCAGTTTCATTAAAACACATTTCTACTCAAAAAATAAGTACCCCTTAAAGAGGCTATTTTTCCCTGTATCAGGTTCTCAACAGGTAAAAGTGAACAAAATTTGTTCAATTTCTATCGCAGAAGACTGACCATTTCCCCTTGCGTAATGAGAAGATTCCTCAAACATATTAATTACTAAGGTAATGGTATTTACTGTACAAACCGATAGCTTATTGATAAACATTGACACATCATTTAGTTTCAGAAATTAACTCTGCAAAATATTTAGCTACATCACTTTAGTGAAAAGCCTACATGCACTTAAGTCAAACCCCTAGTTATTTCGGTAAACTTCGAGCTTTTTACTCCCCACCCTGCAGTTCTGGCTTTCCGACAGGCTTCCCTTCCTGTGCGGGTAAAGCGGGCACTAGGTTTGCCTCCGCTGCCCCTAGGTTTGCCTCCGCTGCCCCGTAGATTGGCAGGTCACTAGGGCGGGCTCGCGCATGCGCACAGGCTGTGCGCGGCCGGTGGACCATGGAGCCCACTAGGCCTCTGGCGCTGGAGTTGCGTGCCCAGTCTCTCCCTCTGGCGCTAGGGGGCGTTTTGCAGCTGTGGCTCTGTGAGCTGTGGCTACTGCTGCTGGGTAGGGGCTTGGGCGCGAACTTTTTGCCACACGAAGAGGACGTGGACTTTATCAATGAGTATGTGGACCTCCACAATGACCTCCGGGGCAACGTCATTCCCCGAGGGGCCAACCTGCGCTTCATGGTGAGACCCGAAGCCTGTTTCCAGAACCTCCCACACTCTTGGTCTCAGCGACTTTCCCCTCAACCTGGGAAAGTCCGGACTCTATCCCTAGGAAGAACCGCACCTTGCCATTGGCTTTAAAAATACCCGTAGATGAGCCAACCGGTTGTGGGGTGGCTGAGGCAGCTGCACCTCACATGGCCAAATGAGCCCCTTAAGTCCTGGACTTACCGACTTGGCGTGCCTGCCCAGAGGAAATAGAGAAGGGACTGGGATGTGGCTATCCTTCCTGGGGTGATTTTTCACGTTCTCTGTTTAGCACACACCCTATAGTAAATATATATATACATACACATACGTGTGTGTGTGTATGAGCTGTGTATACAGTAGCACAACACAAACCGCTACCACTTTGCACAGGGCTGTGACTAGGTGAGTGGAAGCACTTGCCCTGTGCAGATTTCAAGAGAGCGCCAATTAAAAAAAAAATGATATTTTAATACGACAGCTTAAGAACATTTTTAAATCAATGCAGAAACATCAGCCTAAGTTTGGGTTTGTTTTGTTTTTGTTTTCATTTGTCCCCAAATATTTTTAATTTATCTAGTGATTTTTTCTATTATCATTTGGTTATTTGTGTAATTTAAGTTATTTTATTATGTTTATTTATGTTAGCATTGGTACCAATTTCTTTACTCAGTATTGCTTCTTGTACCCCACTCTTACTTTCTGGATTGAATTTTCTTGTACATCATTTAGCAATTTATTCAGTGAGACAGTACAAATAGTAAACTCGATATTTCCCTATCTAAAATAGTCTTTATTTCATACTGTGAAATGAGTTTGAATGATACTATTTTCTGGCATCACTATCTTCTGACTTACACTGTTGCCTTGAGATTTCTTCTGTTAGTTGGTTGAACTAAGAGGTTCCAAGACCAGCTGGCTCCTAGACCAGCAATATCAGCATCACCTGTGAATTTGTTATCATTGAAAATGTTCAGGTCATACTCCAGACCTACTTAAACTGAAATCCTGGATTTGAAGCCTTGTAATCTGTATTTTGACAAGTTCTCCAAATAATTCACAGTGTGCTAAAGTTTGAGATCCACTGGCCTTATCATTCTTTTAAAACTGATTTGTTGGGACCAGCAGATGGCATAATGGTTACACCACTGGGCTCCCAGATAATCGGCCACAGTTCAAGTCCCAGACCGGCAGCTTAAAACTCACACTCGGCATGCGTGTGTGTGTGCCCAAGAGCCCAAAAAGAGAATAAAAGGGGTTGTGGTGTGGCCATCCCCCAAGCGGGGGAGGGTGGTGTTATTTCTCACTTTCTGTCTCTGTATCTCTCTGTCTCTCCGGCAAGCACACACACCCTATAGTCAAAAAAAAAAAAGTAATTTGTCTTTCTTCTCCAGCTATTTAAAGTATTTTCTCTTTGCTGTTCTATAATCTTATCATGCTAGTTCTAAGTATGCATTTGTTTTTATTCATTCTGTTCAGGATTTGGGCTTCAATCTGTGCACTTACGTCTATTGTTAAGACTGAAATTCTTCAGCATTATTTCATAGAATGTTGCTCTCCCCTATCCTCTCTAGTCTCCCTTCTTACACTCCTTTTAGACATACATTTAATTTTCTCATTCATTTTTCCCCCACCTTTCTTAGTTTTCCTCCATATTCTATCTTTTTCCTCTTATTCTTCATTCTGGGTCATTGTTTCAGAACCCCCTTCCAGTTATTAATTTTCTTTACGTTTTAAAATATACTTAACTGGCCCATTAATTTTTTTTTAATTTCTAAAAGTTTTATTTTATTTTTAGTTTATCCATTTGTTCCCAGAGTCCTATTCTTTTCTTATAATTTTTGTTCTTACACTTACTTTGAAAAATATTTAAATGTAATTGTTTTATATTTTTATAAAATATTTTTAGTGTTCTGTTATTTTATTTTCTTTGCATGTTAATTCTCTTGTTTTATCTACTGCTTCTCTGTCATATCTGTAATTTTCTATCGTATGTTTATCTTCAGTACAGATTGTGTATGTGAGAATCTCTTATTGTCCAAGCTATGCAAGAATAAATGTTGTGATGGAGTATTTTTTTTTATTACCTTTACCTCACTCTCGTCTTGGTGTCAGTTTTTTTAATTAATTTTTGTGCTTGGGTATTCTCAGCTTTTAATATATACCTATATATGTAACTTAGGCCTAGGACTTTGTTCTCACAGAACTTTTTTCCATCTAGCTTTCTTGTTATTTCTTCAGACTAGTGGGCTGAATTTCTGGTTTCCTTTCACTTAGGAGGCAATTACGGTCCTAATTTTTCACAAAGATCTCAGTCCCAGAATTTACGTTATGTGGCTCTATGACTAATATCCTATTCCCATAGTAGTCATTCTTATATCTGATTGTATATCTTTGCTCCTCACATTAGGCTCACGAGTTTACCACTCTGGCTTTTAACTTTTCTCTTTATTTCTGATACCTGAGTATTACTCTTTTTTTATAGACTAAATTATTTTCATTTTAATTTTTTGAATTAATTAATTAATTTACATTCATTCACTGAGCATAGTCACAGCATAGAAAATGTGATTTTTCACCCAGACTATATTTCATAGTGGTTTAATCATACATGTTCTCATCAATAATTTTCCATTTCTAGTTTCATGTATACACTTCTCCCCCCCCCCATTTCTCACCCTCTGCCATTTTCCACCCTCCTCCTACACTAACTCTGGTGTCTACAGTTATTTTCCATTCCTTTTTTCCCCCATATTTTATTAATTCACAAAATTTCTTAAATAATCTAACTACTTTCAATAGCAAGTTCAGCATATATATATATATACACACACACACACACACACACACATATCTGTGAACACATGTCTGACTTTAGGCATGAAACTCTGAATAGAATGAATCTACTATAAAGTAGCACCTAGCTGATGCTATATAGCTTACTATGGTCAAGAAAAGCAATTTTAGCTTTAATAAGTCAAAGAAATGCTAACGAACTTTGCTTAAAACTTAAAGCCAGGAAACAGGTTAGGATTCTGTTCAAATAGTAGGTACATGGACCTATCAGCAGCTCAAGATAGGAAAAAAATCCTTAAAACTGGAAAACAAAGCCTAGATGAAAATCAGCAATGTTTTAGTCAAAAGTCATAAAATTCTATTTCACCAATTCAATCTCATGTACTTACTCTATTTTCTGTTGTGGTCTGGTCTTCCCAATTAAATTCTGGGATATAATATTCCACTCCAGACTTGTCCCTACCATTAAGTTGGCTATTTTCTTAGTTTTTTCATTTCTGTGTGTCTGTATATTTCAAAACCTCCCTTAAAAGTATTAAAAGCAGACTAGCTCATACAGGAAATCTAATTTTCCTGATACAGCACTCCCTTGACAACTTCTTGAGATCTGGTCTGGTGTTGGTAAATTCTTTCAGGTTTTGTTTATCTGAGAATGTTCTTGTCTTTTCTCCCCATATGAAGGATAATCTTGCCAGGTACAGTATTCTTGGTTGACATTGCTTTTCTCTTAACACTTTGAATATATTTTCCCATTCTTCCCTTGCTCACATTGTTTCTGATGAGAGATCCACTGTTAGCCTGATGGGATATCCTTTGTAAGTAACTTGACGTTTCTCTCTTGTCAATCTTAGTATCTTGTCTTTGTCTGTGGTTTTTGTCAATCTGGCTATAACATGTCTTGGAGAAGATCTTCTCGGGTTGATTCTATTTGTATTTTGGGGGACTGGATCTTCGAATGCCTTGCTAGATTTGGAAAGTTTTCTTCCAGGATTTCATGGAATAGATTATCAATGCCTTTATGAGTCTGTTCACCTTCTAGGATACCTATTACCCAGATGTCTGGATGTTTGATGGTATCTAGTATTTCTGGTATATTATTCTCTTTTTTGGGGGCAATTTTCTCAGTCTTTGTGGTAAATTTCCCTAGGCCACCAATTCTGTCTTCTACATCTGAGATTAGATTTCCTGTATGATCTAGTCTGCTTTTAATACTTTTAAGGGAGGTTTTGAAATATAGGAGGTCTCCTATATTAGAGCCTTCATCTCTCAC